GGCTTTTTCGCCTGGGGCGGCGAAAAAGCCAGAGCCGGCCCTGCTCCCACATCTTAGGTAAGTGCCCTAACCACCAGGCTAGAGTCATTATCACTTTCTCTCTGGCCCAGTGACTAAAGTATTTCATACAAAGTGGAATGGCTTCAACAGGAGAGACAGAAAGACCCATCCCAGAATACCCTATCACCCAGTGTTTACAGCACTCTCCTTTTAGGTGTAAAAGCTGGGTTCAAATCTCTGCTCTGAATCAGACAGAGGACAGATTTGAACCCACATCTCCCACGAGAGTGCTGTAAGCGCTGGGAATTTGGAGAGCCATGTGCAGCACCATCACACCTACTCCTGCTGGCTGTCCTTTGTGTGGGATAGGCATGCTCAAAGCACACTTACAAGATCAGGTACTAGAGGTGAGATAGGCAGGGGACCTCCTGATTTGTGAATCTTCCCAAGGCTTGGTACAAGTTAGGTGCCGAGCTGCTGAGGGTATCAGGACTGTGCGCATTCCCCCAACAGAAACATAGGTGTCTGGGGGACAGTAGGCACCTACAGGGTTAGACAAGAGCTGAGTAATGCTTTTATGAATGCCACTGGCACCTAAACTCTAGACTTCCGAGCCTAACCGCCACTTTGTGCCCAAGTTCCCCTTGTGAACGTAGCCTCTAGCAAGATTTTCAAAAGAACCTAGGGGGCGTCTAACGTTCATTGGTTTCAATGGGAGTTGGTACCAAGGCACTTTTGACAGTCCTAGTAGGTGCCACTCTGCATCTTTAGGGGCCCTTGGTGCCCCATGTGGTAAGAGCTTAGCCACCACTGTTTTAACCTCAGGTTTCAGAGTGGTAGCTGTGTTAGTCTGTATCAGCAAAAAGAAGGAGGAGTCCTTGTGGGACCTTAGAAGCTAACAAATTTATTTGAGCTTAAGCTTTCGTGAGTTAAAACCCACTTCATCGGATGCATGCAGTGGAAAATACAGTAGGAAGATATAGATACATAGAGGACATGATGGTAACACCCATTTTATCATGTCCTCTGTGTATATATATCTTCCTACTGTATTTTCCACTGCATGCATCCGATGAAGTGGGTTTTAATTCACGAAAGCTTATGCTCAAATAAATTTGTTAGCTTCTAAGGTGCCACAAGTATTCCTTTTTCCTTTTGTTTTAACCTCAGTCTCTTAATCACATCTTGCTACAGTTATAGGACAAAGCCTTGTTTCTTGGTACGGGAGTGTTGGGAACAAAACATGTGTTCTCTGCATGTGCCTACAGGCAAATACAATTGCTTTGTTTTCATCAATGTGACTGTTTTGATCTCATACACTGATCTCACGTTATAAAGGCACAAAAAAGAAATTGTAAAACAGAAAAAGTAAGGGACTCTTATAATCCTATAATGTAGTATTTCCCCTTCCCCTTTGTCCTTACTGTAAGTGTTTAAAGTATTTTTACCATGTCTGTTTTACATAAGTCATCAATAATATTTCTGCACTGAAAAAAGAGCGTTCCCTGTAAATGTAGTGCAAGGTTCCATAAACAATTTTTTGGTTGTTCTGACCAATTTCTCCAAAACTGTTTAAAGGTCAGAAATACGTCACACGGTCTGAAGTAGTGACTGTGGTGGGACTACTGAAATGCCTTAGGCTCTGCCTGTGTGACAGGGATCCCCTCCTTCTTACAGGAACCACACAAAGCTTAATTATTTGGGTTTTGTCCATATATGTGAGATTTTTGCCCTAATAGAATTAAGCATGTTAATTTCAAACTTTTTTTTTTACGCACATAAATTTATAAATATGTAAGATTTCAGAGTAGCAGCCGTGTTAGTCTGTATTCGCAAAAACAACAGGAGTACTTGTGGCACCTTAGAGACTAACAAATTTATTTGAACATAAGCTTTCGTGGGCTACATCTGAAGAAGTGGGCTGTAGCCTACGAAAGCTTATGCTCAAATAAATTTGTTAGTCTCTAAGGTGCCACAAGTACTCCTGTTCTTTTTAAAATATGTAAGTTTCCAGTCAAATTTCCTTCATGTTGTAATCCTTTGATCTGTCAAATAGATGAGAATAAAATGTGGTTTTATAATACTATAGGTATCTGTGATAGCATATCAGACTCTAGACCCTGGTGAGAGATGCAGGACTATTATGATGATTCACCCCCAGCACCATACTTGGAGGGGTCTCATTAGTTACAATTCAGAAGAACAAAAAGTAGATGATTTCTAAGGCAAGACAGCGAAGCATTGCAGAGAAAAAACAAAACCTAGAAGCAGTCAGTCCAAGGGGGGATCTCAGGCTCAGGTTGTTCTTAAAGAATAAAGGAAAGCCCCAGAAAGCCTGGTGAGTTTTAGGTTATGTCTTATATTGCAACCGGAGGTGTGATGGCAGCTCAGGTGGGAATGCCCATGCTAGCTTTAATCTAACTAACATGGCTAAAATAGCAGTGAAGATACAGCAGCATTGGACTCTGGCACAGATTAGCAACACGAATAGGCACCCAAGATTCCAGGCGGGCTTTTACAGACAAGACACTATACCAGCTAGTCTGCGCTGCATCCCTCATCCTTAATTTCTCATATGTTCCTTGCTTCTCCACATCACCATAATATTCGAAGCCTCCAAAGTGCTTTATATAGCAATTTGTTCTCTGGACATTTGCAAACAGCAGTAATTACGTTCTGAACTATAGTGACAATTCTCAGTTTGGACATAAGAATCTGTATTACAAAGAGAATGTTGGCTAAAATACTAGAGTTATCACCACCTAATCTCTTCCTCAAAGTGCAGCAGGTTCTTGAACTTCAGTTTAGGCCATCATCAGAACAGGACATAAAGGATGGCTGACTAATGTTTCATCAAAATGAGTTATGTATTGCTTATTGGATAAATTCATTGCCCACTGAACCACAGCACCATCATCTGTAAAGCTCTGCTGACCAGTTGTATTACCAAGTTATTTTGGAAACTGGGTGAATAAGAATTATAGTTTGGAAGTATTCATTCAAACTAAACAGAAGCTTGACAGATTGTCAGCTTGGATGAGTATTTTGTTTGGCTAAAAAAAAGCCATGGGACACTGCCACTTAAATCAGTTTACTTTTTGTACACCACTTATAAAATAACTGGATATTAATAACAATGTTGTAGGCACTTAGGGCTATATATCCTGTCACTGAGACATATTTAAAACTCCCATTGTTAGTAATGGGAACTGCACAGACAGACAATACGTAGCATTACTGAATTGTTTTCAATCTTTTTTCATTATAACAAATGCATACATGGTAAGGATATTAAAAATCAAATCTTATGAGCCGTCTTGACTTTACATTTGAATCTACAATTTCAAGGAATTTTAGAGCTAAGACTGTCATGGTCTAAAATTTGGCCGATTGTGTAGTCTACAGTCAAACTGCATACATAACCGAAAGGCCAAAATTAAATTCATATTGTGTCTGAAAACATTAGGTAATAAAGACTGAGTCATGGCATGGTGACCTAAATAACTCAGACCCCTCCTTTTCCCTTCTTATGTATTAGAGATTCTTGTGTTGTATAATATGGTTTTGCAACAATGGTTTAAAAATGGAATGGAAGACATATCTGTTTTGTTTTTTTTTAAATACGTAAACAAAAATCAAAGTGCTATCCAGTGAAAGATTTCATTGATGAATGCTGATCGATTCTTAACAATGGGACTTGGTACCCAGTTAGAAAAACAGTTAGAACAGTGAAAGTAACAGTAATATTAGAAGAGAGACAATTGAGATATTTTTGCTTACATTGAAAGAAAAATTACAAATATATCAGAAAAA